TAGAACAATGGCCCCTTACTTGGTACTAGGGGTCATTTCTTTAGTAAAGAGAGAAAAAGGAAAAGATTTGCATGTTTGGCTCTCTTTTAAGTGTGAAATGGAAGTTTTAGAAATAGTTAGAAAAAACCCAAAGTGATGGTAAATATCAAAAGATATTCTTTTCTGTTCAAGTGATAAAATGAGAGAGAGTAGGCTAAGATGGTTTAGTCACATGCATAGAAGGCCACTAACAACTCCGGTTAGAATAAGTGATTTGTTACAAGTTTAAGGGGATAGAAGAGATAGGGGTAGACCAAAAAGGACATAGGTTGCAAAAGTAGTAATACATGATCTAAGCACTAATAATTTAACAATGGATATGGTTTTAAATAGCACGGTTCGGAAAAACATAATTCATATAGCCAACCCCATGTAGTTGGGATAAGACATGAATGATGACAATGATGATGATCTATAATAAAAATAAAAAGCCCTATTGAACCAAAACAAAACTCCTTCACTTTCTTCCCACTCTAATAAATCCAATTACCATAAATTATATATGGTTAGTACTTACTTGCAAAGGTACATATAGCATGAGCTCTTTCGCTGGTTCTATATAAAACAAATTTTGCCTTGGAGGGGATTAAATAAGTATTTGCACACATTCTTTATAAGGAAAATAATTCGGTTAATTTATTGAGTTTACATGTGTGGAGAGGAAATATTTAATGATACACGGGTCAATTTGTGAATAGAAATACATAGGTGATAAGCAACGTGATTGATTTTGTTTTTCAAAATAAAATAAAGGGAAAATTTCATATTAGTACCATATACTTTGTGTCTAGTGCCACTTTGGTCCCCGAACTTTAAAATGCAACAATTCAGTACCCGAACTTTCAAAATGTGTCAATCTAGTACCTTTCATTAATCAACAGTTAACCTGCCGTTAAATGACATTTGAAAATGACACAAATGCCCTTTGAGTGTTATTTAATTTTCTTTATCAACCATCTAAACATTGACAAAAAATTAACAATCCTAAATCCTTGCTTCTTCCATTCAAGAAAGTTGGGGTTACGTTTGAGTGGGCAATTCTGGTGACCCCAACTTTCTTGAAAAGAAGTAGTTGGACTACCCGGCCCGGCTTGATCTAAGTCGGGCTTGGACAAGATTTCAGGTTCGCGGGTTAGGGCTCGGGCCTAAAATATCAGGCCTGACTTTTTTCAGGCCGGCCTCGGGCTTTCTCAAAAAAGCCCTGCCCAAGCTTGACTTGATAATGTATTAGGGTTGTTCATAAGAAGGCCCAACCCGACCAAACCGACCAACCCGAGTCGGCCGGGTTTTCATCAGCACCGGTCGGTTTCGGGTTGTACAAATTCATAAACTGATGGTTCGGGTCGGTTTCGGTTTTCTTGTGTGAAAACCGAAACCGACCCGACCCAAACCGACTTAGTTCCTACGAAATATCTAAAAATATATATTTCGATATCTATATCTAAAAAATATATATTATGAAATATATCAGATATATATTTCCATAAAATATATATTCCAATATATTTGTATGTATATTTTTATTTATATATATGTATATATATTTCTAAAATACATATTTCAATTTTAAATATATTTCCAGAAAACTAAGTGGCCATGGGGGGGCATGGATGAACTTACTGCCGAAACCGACCCAACCCAACTCAAACCGACCAGGTCGGTTTTGCTTAACACTGGGTCGGTTTTGATTTCCATCTCAAGTAACCCGACTAGGTCGGGTCAATTGGAAAAATCTCAGTAAACCAACCCAACCCGACCCGTGAACAGCCCTATAATGTATTATATTAATAAAAATATATTTTATATAATAAAAAAACATATATGTAATATATTTTTCTTCCCTTTTTTCAAGTAATAATGAGACTTTTCATTATTTTTTTAGGTTTTGGGGTCTTTTAGTACAAATAAAACAACTTTTAATTGAATTAAAAAGGAAAAGATCTTTTTTTTTTTCAAATTTCTAACCAGGCTCGGGTTCGGGCCTGGGCTTCAGGCTTTATATGTCGGCTAGGCTCGGGCTCGGGCCTGAACATATTCTGTTAATGTAGAGGTAAAGCCCGACTTGAACCCTACCTGTGAACAGGTCTAAATAGAAGAGGCAAGGATTTGGGACTATTAATTTTTTTGTCAATGTTTGGATAGTTGATCAAGAAAATTAGATGACACTCGAAGGGCATTTGTGTCTTTTTAAAATGTCACTTAATAGCTGATTAACAGCTAGTTAACGACAGGTATTGGATTGTCAGTTTTGAAAGTTTGGGTACTGAATTGTGCATTTTAAAGTTCGGGGACCAAAGTGACACTAGACCCTAAGTACAAGATACTAACTAGAAATTTTCCCTAAAATAAACCATTCACATTGGTAAATGCCCCCTCAGTTTACAAAACACCGAGGATTGATAAATTTATTTTATTTGATCAATGGCGTGTTTATTTATTGTAAGGTTTGCAATAATATATTGCAACAGTGATTGTTGATGATGTGAATTCGAAATTAAATAATCAATTGCTATTTTATTTTTATATTATTTTTTTTCCATTTTTAGCATAATAACAAAATTAAGGGTAAATTGTTGAAATTTCCCCTAGAGTTTTTGGTTGTTGCTGAAACCTCCCCTAAAGGTTTGTAATTGTAATCACCTCCCCTGAACTTTCTAACATAATTGCAATTAGGCCCCTTTGTTAGAATTTTCTAAAAAGAGGCATAAATGTCCAAAATGCTCATACAGTTGTTTTTAACCAAAATGTTTATTTTTCAATTTTTCTCTTCACATGAATCACTAGATCAAACCCTTCTAAACTATTTTTTGAATTTGATTTATTTTTCAAACTTGCCTTTGATATCAATAGCTCAAAGGTAAATCTGGATCTTTAATTTCTCTATAGTTTGTTGATTATAAAGTTTGTATTATTTTTTGCAGAAACCAGCCTCAATAGTAATTGTTTGGGTATTTTGGACATTTTTTGTGTGTCTTGTTAGAGCATTCCAACATAGGGGTATGGGTGGAAAATGGATGGGTTGGGTTGGGTTGGGTTGAATGAGGGTTGAGTACCACCAACCCACCCATATTTGACCCATCGACCCATTTGCCACCCATATTTACGGGTCTTAGTGGGTCACAACCCACCTTGACCCTTGACCCACCCATATGACCTTCTAACCTAATGCAAAGATTAAGAAATTACAAATATTTTAGTCAAACAAAATACACATATTAAGAAAAACAAAAATTTGAGAAAAAAACACACAAATTGACATAAATTTGTAGAAAAAAAATACAAAGATTGTAGAAAAAACACAATTCCGTAAAAAAATTCAGAAAAACATGGAAAATAATAAAATTTAAAAATTCATATTTTAACCAAGAAAATAGAAATTGGATAAAATAAATAAATTGATAAAAATTGTAAATACTTATATATTTCAAATTTTCAACTCAAAACTGTTTTTCATAAAAAAAATCTTTGTAGAAAAATACAAAAAATTGATAAAAAATATCAATTGTGCAGATGAGCTTGTCATCTGTGTTATAGAACTCGTTCTACTTACACTCAGCTTCCATCAACAATGGCACTTGAATTTATCATTGCCACTATTTGTGGTGGTGCTACAAAGCAGCAAAGCCCCAAACATCATCCTTCCCATTCTCAAAGACCAAACCTGATTTGATTCGTGGGAGATTTGAGATTTGAAGAAACTGTGGAAATAGGCTTTCGTATGAATGTGGAGGCAGAGAACCTGATGTGATCTGCCACCCACTCCCTTCTATTCAAAACTCAATTTGAAGACTATAGATCGTCAATCCTTCGTGCAAATCAAATAATTTTTCGATTTCATATCAATCAATTTCCATCTGAATCAAAGCTCGGCCATGAACCCTAAATCCTTGTACCAAACCCTAAGGCCCATTTGAGAGAGAGAAAACGTCCTCTATTGTAGAAATGAAACTTTCCTCAAGCCTTGAACAACACAGCTCACCCTGAGGTCATCTGAAATTTCGAATCCTGAGCAACCTATCTAATATTTCGAACCGTAAGAAGCTCACCCTCACAACCCAATGCCTATCCTCGACTCAACCCACCTTGACCCTTTTCCCCTTGATCGGTCATTGTTGGATCCACATTGACCCCTTGTGCAAATGGGTGGGTTGGGGTCAAGATTGCTAGTCCCAAATAAGTACATAGAGGGTCTACTTGCAACTTTATCAAAAAGTTCAATAATTGCAATTACCAAATTTTAAAGAAGATTTCAGCAACAGCCACAAACATTAGAGGAGGTTTCAACAATTAACCCAAAAATTAAATAATAATACTACTCTTTCAATTCCCTTGCATCCTACACTAAATTTATATGCAATAATATTTGTTTGGGGTACATAGGTGATATACGAGGAGTAAAGGTGTAAACCGGGTCGTGCTTCCCTCTCCTGGACTTTGGGGGGTCAGCCTGACATGGCTGGCCCGGCATGGCCCACAACCTGAGCCCGTGTGGGCCCATGTCATGTCGTGCCGTGCCGCAGGCCGGCTGATCCACGAGCCGAGCTACGAATTGGGTCGAGCCATGTTTTATAAAAATTTTGAAAAAAATAATGAAAGTTTTAACATAAATTAAAAAAAATAGACAAAAAATAAAAAAAAAAGATCTTAAATTTTTATTTTATATGAATTGTAATGTATACAATTGTTTATATATACAATAATAAAATAAAATTAAAAACAAAATTATATATTAATATATTATATAATATATCTATACTACTTAAAAAACTCCTTACAATATTTTTGGAATTTTCTGAGGACAAATTTTACCCCTGCATATATACATTTATTGATATATAATTGAGGACAAAAAAGTAATATGTAATTTTTTTAATTAAATTGAAAACCATCAGTATTTAAGTTTCTGTTTATATTGTTTTTAATGCATATTGTAACTAAAAATGATTTGTAGCCCTACAGCACTCATTCCGTTTGAACGAAGGCATCGAAGTATTCATTCGAGCTCAATCAAACCAAGCAAGATCGTGTTTTTATTTTTATCGATTGTTTTGCAACTGAAGTTCATCAATTTATTATGGGTGGATCTAGCATTCGAGCTCAATCAAATCAAGCAAGATCATGTTTTTATTCTTATCGATTGTTTTGCAACTGAACTTCAACAATTTGTTATGGGTGGATCTGGCATTCGAGCTCAATCAAACCATTCAAGATCGTGTTCTTATCAGATTTCGATGATTGTTTTGTAACAGAAGTTAGGAAATTTATTGGTCGATTGGTTAATTAATAACACTACCACTGAGGGGAAGGGAAGGGTATATGTATTGAAACGAAAATTGAATCCCCTGCGCTTCTCAGTGATCTGGCTTTGTCCATTCGTGTTCGTAATCCAACGACGATGGTCCTCTGTCTGTTCATGTTCATAACCGAACCAGTGCATATACCTTTTCTGTCTTCTACGTGTAGTTATCTCTCAGAACGTGGTGCAACTGATAAATGTCTGCAATTAAAAGGTTCACAGATGGATTCTATAAATATAGGTTCTTGGAAAGTGATTCTGATAGAACATAAAAAGCACCGGAGTAAGAAAAAGTGAGTTTCTTTGCTCTTTCTGAACTTTCTCAATTTTATTTTTCAATTTACGATTCCAATATTGTGATGAAATTAGGAGTTCCTGAGTTTTTTCCTTGTAGGCTTGACATTGGTTCTTCTGTTAAAGATCATTTTATTGGTTGGTTCTGTCAAATTGTTTATGGATTTATTAGTTAAATCCCTGGTATATCTGCCTAATCCATTGAAGGTTGGACTTTTTTTCCCTTCAGGGATGGGTGTTTAATCCTTGTGCCTCTTTTCTTATTCCATCTGATATCTGTGGCTGATCCATGTGTTCCAATGGACAAAATCCTCCTGAATTGTGGTCCTACCTCGGAAATAATAGATAGTGATGGCCAGAAATCGATTGGTAATGTTGGGTCCCAGTTCGTACCTTAGATGACCAACACATTAACCTCTACAGCTGCCACTCAAGGCCTTTGATAGCAAGGGTATTCCACTTTGAATTTACTTACACTTCCCCTGTTGCATCCATCTCCGAGTTCATGTTGTTTGTTTTTGTTTCAGTCTTTTATAATTTGACAACTTTATTTTTCTGTTCCAATTTCATATAACTTTGTGTATTGCATATTTTTTTCCTTATTATATCTAAAATATCAAAAACTACAAGTTATATGTATGAGTCAAGGCCTCTGATAGCAAGGATATTCCGCTCCGAATTTACTTACAATTCCCCTGTTGCATCCATCCCTGAGTCCATGTTGTTTGTTTTTGTTTCAGTTTTTTATAATTCGACATCCCTAATTTTCTGTTCCAATTTCATATAACTTGTGTACTGCATATTTTTTCCTTATTATATCTAAAATATCAAAAACTAGTTAAAAGTTATATGTATGAATCAGTTTTAGTATATGCGTGGTTTTTTTTTTGGTTTGATTTAATTTGATTGCAGAAATAATGGCTGCATCATACGGAGTCAGTATTTCCTTCAAGAACTTGTTGAATGAGTTGAGTAACCGATTGCGAATTTCACCTCTAAAAATGACCGTCGAGGATGTTGGTAAATACTTTAGAGCTACAGTTATTCTTAGACTTGAAGAAGACAGCTGGAGATTTTATGGAAAATTAGCACCTACCAAGAAGGAATCGAAACAAGATGCTTGCTTTAAAGCGGTGAAGAAAATAATTGATTTCTTTAACATAATTTTTTTTTATGTCAACTATGAATAATTAGAAAGCTACCGTTGGAAGTGTATACAATTTCAAAATCATGTTGAATGACTAAGGGCTGAGATTTCAAAACTAAGAAGTAGGGTTGCTGAACTTGAAATGGAAGTGATTGATTTGGAAGACGATCCTAAGGAAGAATGTTCGGTTGGTGGCAATTAGACCTAGAACTTTAGGAGTTTTGATACGAGTTATTTTCTTAGTGTCATGGTGTCTTATGGTCTTAGTTTCAGTCTTCGAATGACTTGTGTCTTTGTTTGTTTTTAATGGAAGTTGTGTTTTTGAGAGTGGTCTATCTTGTTTTGTAAGTAGTTGCTTTAGTGATTGGTGTGCTAACTTTATTTGTCTTAATGAAAAATTGAAATTTGCAGTGTTCTCATGGACTATGTAATTTGTAAGCCTCCATTTTCCTAAATAATATTTTTTTCCTACAAGAAAAAACCTTCTTGAGATCCTTTTAACATAAGTGTTCTTGGTATCCTAACAAATGGAAATGGGAATTTGAAATGGTAAGACCCCATGCAAGCTCATATGTTACAGCCATGGTACCCAGTCGATTTCTGTTTTGAAGCATCTCTTAGGATGATAGAAGCTTGAGGCCTTATCTTTGAATTGCCCAACAATACAGTAGGTGAAACTATTTTGAACAGTTTAATAAGAAACATGTGCTCTGTAATTGAATTTAGTGGAATAAAACGATATGGGGGATAAAGAAACATTCACAATTGGCTGTTGTTCTTCAGTAAGAACACTATTGGCACAGTCACCATCATCACTTAATTGTATCCACAATGCATCTTGTGTATCCTTGTAATATTATTATTACCAGAATACGTCTTTTCCACCTGTTCCCATATATGTTTTGATGTATCAAGGATTATCAGTCCACTACTTATCTTCAGTTGCATAGAGTTCCACAACCAGGTTTTAATTTGAGCATCTTGTTTCACCCAATCAGAGTAGGTAGAGGTGCCTTCTTTCTGGTTTCCTATCAGTCAACTACTTAATTTCCATTAGCAGTAAGGAACACCTCAGCAGACTTTGCCCAAATAGCATAATTAGTTCCATTTAAGTTCAATGGAACTCATTTGAATAGGGAAAAACTCAGGAGACACCATAACAGAAACTCTTGGTTTAGCCAAATCAAGGGTGACACTCACAGCAACAGCAGCTCACAAACAATGGTGATGGTAACTGCCATCAATAACCACCATAACAAAACTAAGAAGTCAAGAAAAGAGAGAGACCAATAAAAGAAAATTTGATGGGAGGTTCAAGAGAAAGAAGGTAAGAATATTGATGGATCTACCTTGATCTTGCTCTGATACCATGAAATAAGTAGAACAGAGAATTGTAGTGAAGAGGGGAGAACAGAACCTGGAACGCAATAGAAGAGAAAAACCCATATAACTGCTGGGTATTTATATTAAATATAATTAGTTGTGTTTACAATAATGCCCCTGTTTAGTGTAAAAGGAGGACAGGAACACTCACAATAAAAGAAAAGAAAAATTAATACCCTGTTGCCCAATGAACTCTAACATACTCTATAAACAGTATATAAAACATGGCCAAATCTGTCTATAACCACTACTACTCAACAATCCCCTTGGTTCACCTTGCACCTACCCACAGTCCTAAAACTTCAACTCCCTGCATCCAAAACTCAAGCCACAATAGACACTGACCCCCGCCCAAGGAAAAGTATTCTTCTCTTTATTTCTTCCAATTTCTTAAATGCTTTTCTTGCATATTCTTCTCCACCTAAAAAGAATAACCCCAATTAGATAAGTCCATGTACAATGATTCAGACATTTTTTAGTGAATGGGCGGGGGGATTTGAGTCAAAAGCAGTGGTGATTGGGTAGGTGCACTGGAGGGATTGGAAGGCTGTAATTGAAGAGTGTACTCTGCCTTGAATTGACTTTGGTATAGCTCATTGTTATGGTTGACAGCTTTTAGGTGATATTTAAGGACTTAAATGATGAAAGGGGAATTTCTTGGATCTGGGATTTTATTTTGGTAAATGGCAACCATGTATTTAGGTTATAATTGGTGATTTAGAAACATAATCAATAAGAAATCCTGTAAAATATTATTTCTAATGCCACAGGATGCATATAAATTCCTATAAATTAAATAGTAACACGTAAGAATCTTACTTGGGTTATTACTTCTGTACAATTGATTGCTATATCATTGTTGACATATCTATTCTGTTGGAGAATTTTTGTTTCTTTCTCAAGGGAGCATGTGATATACCTAATGGCCCATCTAACTAATTATGGTGGAATAAGAAATTGCTACAGTGATGATAATAAGGGCGGTAATTAAGTGGTAACAAATTGAGTCCTTTCAAGTTAAAATTGATCAAATCCAAATTTAAGAGCAGGTTGAGATCAATATTGATTGATGAACCTTAGCCCAAGATTGCTAAAAGGAAAACAAAGACAACTTCCCTCTCTTTATTGAATAAAGTTCATTGAGTTTCAGGAAAAAGAGAAAAGTAACTAAAGAGAAAAAAAAAGTTTTAGTCAGGCGAGAGAAATGGGTTGATTTGAGAGAAAGAAACACCTAGAAGTATCTACATTTTAGTTCCTTAAGGTTCATATGTTTTCATCATCCTCGTCATCCTCTACAAAGTAGAGACACCATTTGTCCTTCAGAATTTGACTCAGAAATTTCGGTCCCATGAAGTAGAGACACCATGTGAACATGCATTGATTTCCTCAAGAGACAATAGAGATAAATATAAAATACATGGTTGCATTCTTATATATGAAGTAGAAAGTTTGATCATACTAGAGTACTGAGTCTGTGTTATATGTTTGTTTATGTGTAGTATGTTTATTTAATCTTGAATATTTTTGTATAGAAAAATACTAAGGGAAAGTAGAGTTGCCACTTACTACTTGCTGGGTCAGCCTTTATACATCAAAGTTAAGATAGAAATTGAGCCTTATGATACTTTTTTATTTTTCTTCATATTTAGTTGAAAGTCAATCTCTTCTTCAATTAACTGATTATGATTCCCTTCATGCTCACTGTTATCATCCCTTAAATTGCTACTAGGATATTAATCACTCATCAGATGTTTGTCCTTCAGAATTTCACTCAGAAATTTCGGTCCCATGAAGTAGAGACACCATGTGTACATGCATTGATTTCCTCAAGAGACAATAGAGATAAATATAAAATACATAGTTGCATTCTTATATATGAAGTAGAAAGTCTGATCATACTAGAGTACAGAGTCTGAATATTCAACTTGTACTAACAAATATTTGGTTTATCTAACATTTCTAACATATTGGTTGTCTAGGGAAGAGTTATAACTTTCTAGCAGGTATCTCAGTGACAAGCGGAAGCGTGTTGAGAAAACTGAATCCAATAATTGAAGCTTAATTAGTGGAATTCGCAAGGTACTATTATTTCCACATTCATCTAAAAAATCAAAATTTACATTACTTAGGCTGTGTTCAGTTGTAGTGCAAATCTTGGCCAGATGCAAAATTTGCACCTGCCTACCCAGTTATGTTTTGCTTTCATTTGTTTGTAATTGTAATTTGCATTCATATTTGATACAGTTGCAGTCCATTAGAATTCCATTATCATTATCATTGCATCATGTATCACTGGCATACATGAATGAGATCTTTTCTTTTTAAGTAGAATGAGAAGAGCTGGTATTGAACCACTGAAATGATCTAATTGTGTGAGTGGATGAAAGTATAAGAATTTAAAATTAATTCAGGGTAACCCATGACTTTCATTGGTCTCTTTTGAAACCTTGTTTCTTTTCAGTTTTCACCTTTGGCAAGATTGAAACTTCCATTAAAAATGGAGATTAGGAACAAAAGTTGAGGGCGGGGAAGGAGGAGGAAATAAAGCATTTTAGATATCTCATGCCACTCTTCTTCAAATTATTGGATTCTTTTTTAAAACAGAAACATCCCCACCTAAGATCTTATTTAAATACTTCACCCTTTTTAAAACAGAAACGATCATGTAATGAAAACTGGACTAGCACAATTTGTTATTAATATTGAGGATAATGATGTCGAACAGCTAATAAACCTTCATCATGTCTTTTACTATACAGAAACCAATGTAAATTTGATCATACAGAAACACACAGAATATAATAGTTGCATTGTTATATATGAAGTAGAAAGTTTGATCATACCAGACTACATAGTCTGTGTTATATGTTTGTTTATGTGTAGTATATTTAATTAATCTTGACTCTTTTTGTAAAGAAAATACTAAGGGAAGGAGTAGAGTAGAGTTGCTACTTGCTACTTGCTGGGTCAGCCTTTATTATTATATTCAACCATGTTAATTAAACATTTGTTTAATTTCTTCTTTTGGCCGGTCCAATTTCCTTGGCAATTACCTTCCTCTCTCTATTCTGTTTTTCTGTTTTCTTTCTTTTTTTTTTTTTTTGAATTTAATGGATAAATCTATCTTCTTGGTATGCATGGACATGGGGTTGCTGTTTCTTAACATAAATATCAATTTACACAAGAAGTTGGGATGGACCCACCCAATGAATGGCTATACCTCATTGATCTTCTTTAGTTGAAAATTAATGGTGATCATCAACAGGGGCGGAGCCAGAAAATTTTTATGAAGGGGGCCAAAACCTAAATGAAGTATGGATGAACGCATAGGGGGGGTTGAGGTAGAGAGTGGGGGGAGGGAAAAATTTACATAGGAAGTGGAGAGTTTCTGAACCAACCATAGGGGGGGCCATGGCTCCCCTGGGACCCCCTGGCTCCGCCTCTGATCATCAAGATGGTCACAGGTCTTATCCCTTGAATCTATTACATTCTGCTGTATATCTTGTCTAGAAATATGATTGTATGGATCGTGTTCAGATGAAATAGATGGCATTTTCCTTCATCTTAGTTGCTTGATCCCAGAAGTCTTGAATTTGAGTATTCAAGCCATAGTTATCAAGATGATGCCTAGGTGAGCAGGCATTTTCTGGAGGGCACCTTTATATTACATTGTTTTTAGCATATGTTTTCAGCAGATGCTTTTTGTGGTTTCAAAATTAACCAATGTGGTTTTAAAGCAAGATCAAGAGATTAACACCTACCAGGAAAAAACCGTAGCAAATGAATTCTCTTAATCTTAAGCAAGATTAAGAGATTGCTCTCTTTTGTCACTACACCTCCTTGAAACATTTGACTGTCTTCTAATGATGTGTGTTAGAACATGGCCAAGATGGTCAACCACTTGTTAGATCAACTGTTGGACTAGGACAAATTGTAGCCTTTGAAAATTTAATTAGGATTAAACTAAATAGTTGATCATAATCACCCCAATATTCTCATCCATCTGGACTGTCTAATAAAGGAAGCTCAGGTAGGAGACTTCTTACTAAAAGAGTAAGAGAGAAGACCAAAGCTTGATTTGATAAAAGATTTAGAGGGCCTACTGTACTCTATGAATGACCTATTTCTTGTATAATTGTGCCCTTAGTTTCCACTTTTTCTCAGCCACCTTAACCTTCATTAGGGTGGAGAATGGTCCCAGCAAATGGTTGAACACTCTAATCAAACTGCTAGAATTGTCCAAGAATGTAAGCATGGTTAGTGACAAAACCTCCAATTTCTCTGAGAGGTATGCATAACCATAGAGTTAGAGGTTGTTTATATCTCTGCACAAGTATTGTTAATTTGAGTGTGATGTTGTTTATTTCCCTCTTTCCATTTCACATTGAGAGAACAATATGATAGTTCAACATTAATTAGGTCACGTTTTCCTTAAAGAGATTTCAATTTTGGTGAAGTTTCAATTCAATGAATTAGCTAGCAATTTGAATTTTGACAGCATATGTATGTTTTGATGTATGAAGGATTATCAGTCCACTACTTATCTTCAGTTGCATAGAGTTCCACAACCAAGTTTTAATTTGAGCATCTTGTTTCACCTAATCAGAGTAGGTAGAGGTGCCTTCTTTCTGGTTTCTTATCAGTCAACTTTCCATTGGCAGCAAGGAAAACCTCAACGGACTTTGCCCAAATAACACAATTAATTCCATTTAAGTTCAATGGAACTCATTTGAATAGGGAGAAACTCAGGAGACACCATAACAACAACCTTGGAATCCATATTTTCTCACTCTTTTCAATGTAACGAATCTGGTAGGACAGCTCAAATTAGATTTATCTACAATCCAACAAGCTCTCTCACAATGGAAAGAAATGCCCAATTTTAACACAGAACTTCAAGAACTCACCTGAAAATTTAAGGAGATTACAGCAGCAGCTTCCATATAAAGAATGCATCAAACAATCATCACACACAACAACAATTATAATACCTTTATTTAACTCTTCATAAGCCAGAAATCAACACACACCCTCTTGGTCTAGACAAATCAAGGGCGACACTCACAGTAGTAGCAGCTCACAAACAATGGTGATGGTCACTGCCATCACTAATCACCATAACAAAACTGAGAAGTGGAGTTCTTAGCAGTCGAAGAAAAGAGAGAGAGACCAATAAAAGAAAATTTGATGGGAGATTCAAGAGAAATAAGGGAAGAATATTGATGGATCTACCGATCTTGCTCTGATACCATGAAATAAGTAGAAGAAAGAATTATAGTGAATAGAGGAGAAAACATAACCTGGAATGCAGCCTAGATCCTCCAGGGCAATATTTATTCTTTGTTTTTTTTTTTTTGTGGAATACTGTGCATGTTCTCTTGTGTACATGGAATAGTTCACATTATACATGCTGAATAATAAACAATGCTTTACATATAACTGCAATATATATAAAAGATGGTTAAAGATTTTTTAATTAGTGCAACAGTCAAGTTTTGGAAAAACTGTACAGATAGATGATGGAAAAAATGTAGAGGCTGCAGAGAGGGCCAGATGGGGCATGTATAACTAACAACACTAAAAGAGGGTTAACTTGCTCTGCATCTTTGGTAACCATTTAAAACTAATTCTTCACAGTACAGATAGAAACTCTGCACCTTGCATTGGCAAAGCACTATGGAGTATGGACTTTGTTGAAACCTTTTTTTGAAGATATTTTAGATTGAGCTGAGCACACCTAGATGGTATTATCAGATGATTAGGCCCAATTCTTTTTCAAAATTTATAAAACACTATAATTAGACATCACACTCTTATGTGTCATTATTATGTAGGGACAAATTTTTCAGGGTCTCACCAATAAGAACCATGATAATCAGCACACAAGGTACTCTATACAAAAATAGTCCAAGTAAGTATTACAACTCTTTCTCTATAAATTTCCAAAAATTATACAATCACAATTACTTTTATTTTTTAATATGTATTGCTTACATGCAGATTATTGCATTATATTAAATGAATTTTCTGCTTCAACTATGGTTCTAACTGAAGGTCTAATATTCAAACCAGCCTTTACACCTACTTATAATTTATACCTGTTACTACATACCAAAACAGAGTACTTCATTAAAAGTAATTTTCAGAAGAGTAGTGTACAAAAAAAAAAATGAATATGAAAGAAGGTATGAAAGACTATCCCAAGAAAGAACCAACATATCTAGAATGTTATTGAAAATACTAGAAAAAAGAACATAAGAGCTGCTGCAGAGTTTTAAAATGCCTCTAAAGGAAACATTAAGAGACATCAAAAGCAATTGCTTGTTGAAATAGTAGAAGACAATGAACAGCAGGAATCAATTGAAGGTCTTAATAAATTTATCGTTACATTTAGACTTGGAAAAAAGTTGACCCAACCTGCGAACTCGACCCAACCCAACCCGAAAAAAACTAGGTCATGGGTCAACCCGTTGACCCGATTGTCAAGTCTAATTGGGATTGCTTATGCATTGTTAGAAGTTTCCACTCTTTAATTTTTATTATTTAATCTTTACTTTTTATTGTTTACTCTTTAAATTGTTAAATGTTCAAGTTTTTATTTTATATTTGATAAGGTTAATTATTTTAATTTTGACATTTTTCATGTAATTTTTCTTTATTTTTTTAAATTTTAATTATTTTTTGGGATGACCCGAATTGACCCATGGGTCAACACTAACCCGAACATTTAGGGTTAGGGTCTAGCATTTGACAACCCGACCCAAAATCAACCCGAAGTACATTGACCCAACCCGAACCCGACCCACCCAACCCGATTGCCAGGTCTAGTTACATTATATTCACTTATTGCTTTTATAAATACAATATAAATTAAACAAAATTATAAATGGTATGTAGGTGAACTTCCTTCCACCCAAAGTACTTTCAACACACATGAGTTAAAGAAGGTACCACCATATAAATTTTGTGGAGCAAAAATGTTTGAATATGAGCCTTAACTTTTTGTTGTTATAATAGACAAATTCTCTTATCTTCAACTCCAGTTCTAGAGGAATTATATAAGTTGTATACCTCTAAAACTGAAGACGCAATTGAATTTAAAGCAAATATCAGAGCTTACAATAGCATTTTCTCATTCACATCATTTGGAGTCAAACTGGATAATGACTTGGCCAACTCAAGCAAGGGTATGTTTTGGGCTCAAGGACAAATATACCATGACCTTCCATCAATCTCACTTGGTGAGATTAGGCCATGCTTTGTACAGTTGTATTTCTATGACACAGAGAATGAAATTCAAAATAGAATGAGCAAAATTGGTGACAAGCAATTGAATCCAAGAACTATAAAGAATCTAATTCAAATCCTTTTAAATAATCCATACTCTCAGTTCTTTCGAAGACATACCGAAAGGAAATAACACAGTTTCAAATGCACGAAAATCAAAGAATTTTATAACAAGAAGTTTTACATCATCTGAAGACATTATTAACCAAGAAGGTAAAGAAAATTATTTTAATAATGCAATAAACATAGTTTGTAATAATAATTTCCACATTATATAATAACGTATTTAAATCTCCACTATAGATACTATTATTGGTGATAATAGATTGGTAGTCTCATGTTGACAATACTATAGTAACCTCTTGTAGATAAGAATGAATGATCGTTCCATAATCTTGTTAGCAAAAAATTTGTTGCATCAATTTGTGGTAGATATGTATACAAAGCTTGAAAGTACACGATTGGATTATTATCGCCAAAAACAATCCAATATTCATGTAAAGTTGTATCAAGGAATAATGGATAGTGTATTAGCAGGTGAGACCAATGGATGTAGTATTGGTAAAAGAATTGTTTTACCTGCATCATTTATTGGGGATCCTCGTGACATGCGTCGCAGATATCTTGATTCAATGGAATTAGTTAGTCAATTTGGGAAATCAGATTTCTTTATTACAATGACATATAATCCAGAGCGGAAGGAGATTCAAGATGAATTGATTGTTGGAAAGTTGCTACAAGATAGACCGAATTTAACTACAAGAGTGTTCAGGGCTAAATTGCAAGACTTAAAAGACCAATTTTTTAAGAAACAGATTTTTGGTAAAGTCGCTACACATGTTCATGTTATAGAATTCCAAATGAGAGGACTTTCACATGAACATTTGCTAATTATTATGAAGTCAGGTTACAATGTTACAAATCCAGATTAGTACAATAAGTTTATTTGTGCAAAGATACCTGATGCAGAAAAATGCCTAAAACTTCATGGATTAGTGAAGAAACATATGATCCATGGACACTGTGGAGATTATAACATGAAAAATTCCTGCATGGTTAACAATCAATGTAAATATCATTATCTTAGAAATTTCTGTAACACTATCATGTACGGAAAATATTCGTACCCCATCTACAGAAGAAATAATGGGCATAAGGTGTTTGTTAGAAATCAATATTTAGACAACTTATGGGTCATTCCTTACAACCCTTATTTATTAACAATATATAATTATTATATCAATGTTGAAATATGCTCTGGTATTAAAGCAGTGAAGTATTTGTACAAGTACATATATAAAGGACATGATCAGGTTGTTATTTTCATTGCACATAATGATGGAGAATGAGATGAAATTCAACAATTTCAAGATGCAAAATGGGTTTCAGCTCAATAAGCACTTTGGAGAATTCTTGAATTTGAGCTTAATGAAATTTACCCATCAGTCATAAATATGCACTTACACCTTCCAAATAAACATTCTGTATGTTATTGGGAGAACCAAAACTTGAATTATGCTACCAATTCAGATGGGGCTTCCAAAACAATGTTGACGAAGTAATTCACAACATGCTCAATTGATAAAAATGCAAGAAAATACTTATATAGAGAATTTTTAGAGCATTATGTATGGAATAAATAAGCTAAAATGTAGACACCAAGGAAAAAAAAGAGAATTTATTGGACGTGTAATAGGTGCAAACCCTTCTGAAGGAAAGATATTATTTGAGGCTCTTACTTAACAACATACCAGGCCCACCATCTTTTGATGACTTATTATGTGTAGATGGAGTTAAGAATTCAACATTTAACAAATCGGTTGAAAGACGAAAATTACTTGATTTAGACCAAAGTTTATATACTCTACATGAAGCATCATTATTCCAAATGTCATTAACTTTATGATGGCTTTTTGCGACAATATTAGTTTTTCGTGAACTAACAAATGTGAGACAACTTTGGGAAGATTATTTGGATGTACTATCTGAAGATTTTAGAACAAATTAACATTTCAAAAAATATCAAGTTAGAAGCACTTTAAACAACATTAACCACTTCTTGGAAAGCATGGGAAAAAGCATCAAAGATTATGACTTACTAGAATTTCAACTTGTCCAAAATCACAAAAATGATAATTATACAAAAGAAATTGATAAAAATATGATTGTGAAAACACTTGAAGAATATTACCTTGTACCATCAAGGTTAAACCCAGAGCAAGAAATAACTTATGCAACAATATTAGATCATGTAAACATAAATGGCTTTGGAGCATCATTCATTGATGGGCCTATAGGAATAAGAAAGACATATTTATATCGTGTATTACTTGCAACTATCAGATCAAGAAATTGGATTGCTCTAGTTACAACAACTTCAGGAGTCGCATCAACAATGATGCTTGGTAGACGTACTGTACATTTTAGGTTTAAAATTCCAATTAATGTAAATGAATCAAGCATGTGTAACATATCAAAGCAAAGTACCATAGTTGAGTTCTTGTGAAAAGCACGATAAATCATATGGGATGAAACATCGATGGAAAACGAACAACAATTGAAACATTGGATATAACTCTCAAAAACATCATGAACAATCAATTACTTTTTGGAGGAAAAATCATTGTTTTTGGAGGAGATTTTTTACAGGTTCTTCCAGTGGTAAGACGAGCAATTGAAGCAGAAATAGTTAATGCAAGCCTAGTACAATCTTATCTTTGGCCAAAACCAGAGCGCTTTAACTTGATAATTAATATGAGAGCAATATCTAATCATTTCTTTAGTGACTTCTTCATGAGAGTTGGAAATGGGTTAGAACCAACATTTTAAGGAGATATGATAACAATACTAGAAAACATGATCATCAAATATGAAAATGATGAAAAGTTACAAAACATGCTCATTGATTAAGTATTTGATTCATTGGACAACAATGCAACCTCAGCAAATTATATCACAAAGCGTGCAATCTTAGCTTCAAAAAATGATGTCGATGAATTAAATAAGAGGTTAATTATGAGATTTCCAAGAAAGCTATGGACATATCACAGTTATGATCTTGCCATTGATGATACACATAACTACTATCTAACAGGGTTTTTAAACTCTTTGACACAAAATGGCTTTCCACCACATAAACTTACTTTGAAAATGAATTATCTTATCATTTTACTTCGAAACCTAGATCCATCAAATGGACTATGCAATGGAACAAGAGCGGTCTATAAGGGTTTTCACAATAACATCATCTATGCAGAAATCACTACAGGACAACATGTTGAAAAGCAAGTACTATTTCCAAGAATACCATTATCACCATTAGAAGATGAAAGATTTCCATTTCATTTCAAGCAAAAGTAATTCCCTATTTGTTTAAGATTTGCAAAGACAATAAATAAAACCTAGGGTCAAACTATTCCATATGTAGGCATATATCTACCTAAGCATGTCTTTTCACTTGGTCAACTTTATGTGGATTTATCTAGAGGAATCTCTGCTTCAACTAAAATATTGTTTATAGACAAGTACTATCACCAATTATGAACTTATAAATAACAAAACTTTTTTATACTCTTATGCTTTCTATTATTTTAATACAATTACACTTATAATAAATTCTAACTTTTATTTTTATGACCTAACCTTATTACTTTTGTTATTTTTATTGCTTCTTTTACTCTTTATTACGTCTTTTAGTAATTAAAAAAAATAGTATTTACCTTGATCTTTAACAATATTTTTTACTGCTTATCATGGAAGAAGAATCACAATACATATCTATTTACTGACACCAGAGGAAACAAATTGGACCATTAAAACATTGGTCTGACACACAGGGGCAATAGAGGTTTACATTAATCACAAAGGTAGTGGAAAAATGCTCAAGGTGATATTAATGGACAATGAGGTATGCACCTACAACATCTATTTACTTCAATTACAAAGTTATATATAATAATTTATAACTAACTTTCAATGTCCATAAAGAATATTACATGTATACAACAGACGATATTGTTCAATATAATAGCAGAAAAATTTCTAAATGCATCGTTTCCTCAGAAAACATATTACATCACTAACGACCAATTGAAGAATATTAGTCCACTATACAAAAATGTCCATAAAGACTGAAATTTGCATAACTGTTTTGACCTCAATCATAGAAGCTAGAGGAGTGAGTTATACCAAGATAAATTACAAATTTGTTCAACTCCATAACATTAAAAAATATACTACAAGTAAAGATTTGATTGGCAATTAAAAAATCATTACAATAAAAAAATTATTATCTATATTTTAATTTATAAAATAAAGATATATTTAATATAAAATAATTTAATTCTTTGCAAATGTGGTTGCAATGGTGATTGAAGTTGGTAAGACACATCAGTTCAAGTACAAAAATAGAATCTCAGTGAAATGAGAGATCACTATATTTGATTCTAATTACTTATAAACTATTGATTTCTTTTTATTTCTGACATTGTACTCAGTGCAATTTCTTTAATAATTGGTATAGTTCAAAGTCTGTTTTATTGACATTATAGGGACAATATGCAAAAGAAGAAGGTACATTACTATTAGAAATTCTACCACACAAGCCAATAGTTGCATTCACATCGTTAGTTGATATAACATATGGAGGTAATATTCTTTTATATTAAATTTAAATAAAATAAAATACTAGTATATACACTTATCACTTTCTTCTATATTATAGGTGGTTCTCTTTCTACAACATCTGTAACAACAATGCAAGTTAATCCAAGCATTCCTGAAGTAGAAAATATACGAGAACTGTAAGTATATAAGCAAATTTTATGTATTCCTAAAAAGATAAACATCTATATATGCAGATGCAAAATAATATGTCCTCAAAAAAATAATACTTTATTGACTACAAAAATGTCCTTGCTCAAGCAATCAGAACATGTTAAAATAAAGGACTTAATAGAACGTCAGACATTTTAGGTAACTTGACAATTACAGAAAATCTACTCATTTATACCTTTTATTTAAATAAGACATTATTAAATTAAAGTGTTACTATTTGTAGGTAAGTTACTGGTCGATCAAGGCAATAATAACTGATATCCCAACTCTAATGAACCATGGTATGGTACAATGCGTGTGATAATTGCAATAAAAAAAAGGTTAAGCTAACGGAAAAATGAGCGTACTGTAACAAATGTAAAGAAAATGATGTTAAGTACTCTAAGAAGTATGTGATAAATTAAAATAAATCATTTATAAATAATATATTAAAAATTATTATTAGTAACCAAAATATATCAACATAGATATATGCTCAGAATCAACATATCAAATGACACTAGAAAGGGTATTGTCACATTATTTGAAGAAACTGCTGAGATAATTGGACGTTCGATATCAAAATTTGTAAAGAATTTGTTATTAATCAATATTAATACTACAAATTAATTTAATAGTAACACAATATGATAATATCATATTGCAGGGAAAATGTGACAAGTTTATAGCTTGTCTGAAATAGTTAAAAGGAAAGGTATACTTATCATACGAGTTGATAAAAAAGGAAACATGGGTCGTAGCTCTAATAAATTTGTATCAACTAATATGATCAAAGTAGATAGCTCAACAATAACATGGATAGAAGACGTCAACTTGTTCAATGATAAAAAATTGAAAAAGGTTCAAGATTGAAAAAGAATGAAGAAGATTGGCAACCTTCAAAAGTCGAGTAGTATTACAAATAAGTCGAGAAAGATGTTATCCTAAATGACATTGCAATTATTTTCTTTTTAGTTCTATGTAATTCCCACAATAATATGCAACTATAACTATAATCATTGAAACTTTATTTTTATTCATATTATTACTTTTCTTAATTTTCAAATTTTATTTTAAATATGATATATTATAAATTTAATAAATTAAGATCGATAGGATCGAGAGAATTTCCTCACGTGCTTCATTACTAGTATAATATAATATATTATATATATATAATATAAATATAAATATATATGGGTTGTGTTGTGGCATAGCCCATTCGGTCGTATTAGCCATGCCGGCCCATGGACCTAAAATCCTAGGCCCAACGCGGTCTATACAATCATGTTGTGCTTGACATGACCCGCAATCCGTTGTGTTGTGCCATGGGTGGCATGACCCGATTTACACCACTAATGAACAATTGAGAATCTTACATTAGAAGAATATAGGAAATGCAAAAGACTCTAGTGATCCATAACCTAATATAGTCGCTTATATATAAATCCCATGTGTATATATACATATGCATGATCTCCCCGGGTTTTTGTGACTCATGGTTGTGAGTACCTAGGGGTGAGCAAAAAAAAAAAAAAAAACCCGAAAAACCAAACCGATCGAAACCAAACCGCAAAATCAGTTAACCGAAGCGATTAATTAGTTTTTTTTTTTTAAAAAATGAAGGTATTGGTTCGATTTCGATTAACCAATATAGAAAACCGGTGGTTAATCGAACCAACCGGTATACATATATTTCTATATATTTTATATATATTTATGTATATTATATGTTATATATTATAAATTAATAAATATGCATTATATATAAATATAAATATATATTTATAATATATGATATATTATTTATTATTTAAAATATAATATTTTATATATATTTATAATATTTTATTATATTTTTATAATATATATTATAAAAATTAAAAAATCAAAAAATTAATGAACTGAACCGATGGTTAACCGAATCAGTCAACCGGTTAATTAATTAACTTTGGTTCAGCTTCAGTTACTGGTTACTGATTTTCCAAAAACCAATAGTATCGATTCAATTACAAAAAGAGGCCCATCCAAACCGTGAGCACCCCTAGTGCCCGGGTTATTGTCCCATTACATGCATGTATATTTTCATACATAATTAAAGAGTGCAATCTTTAAAAAAAAAGAAAAAAAAAAACTCAGCAGGAGTTGTAGTTGTAATGGTGTTTGGTGATGAGAGGAATATTTTATGTGGTGACACGGAGTCCATTCGTTGAACAGTGAAAGGTTAACATCAGCATGTGAATTATTGTGATTTAAGCATCACCATTTCAGGTTCTTGAACAGCTTGGATGGCTTATCCATCCATACATAGATAACAATAACACCAACACAGCAGCCAGCACCCAGAGACAGAGGTGACCGTGTTGTCTGCTTCACAGACCAATACAAGACGTACTCCTCCTATTCCTAATACCTGAACGATTCTATTACCAATGTGGGCCCTAGCAACAATGCAAGGGACCATCCGAAAAACCATTTCAGCTGTTTTTTCCGGGTTGAACGAACGGTCTGACCATTCTGTGTCCTACCTGGGTCTCAATGCTTTACCCAAAGGTAAAAAAAAAAAGGTCAAGAAGAAAATGATGGTTGAGTATCAAGATACTGAAAACAGACGATAGGTCTGGCTTCAACCACGTTACCCCAAGGCCGGCACCGGGCTGCTTTAGGCCACAGCCTTTAAATGAAGCAAAAATCAACCACCATTTCTTTGCTTCTCCTCCACATGATCACTCTTTAATTAGTAGTTTCAGATAGTTATTCACCTCCTTCACCTCTAACTCGTTATACTATCAACTAAATACCCCTCTATATGAGACAAAAAACTCTCGAGGTTTTACTTTACCATCTCTGCGTGTTAGCAATTGGACCGGTTTTGAGTTGGACCTGTCCAAATCAAAATCAATTTCAATTTGAAAAGATTGGATGGACCAATAAGATATATTAAATTATACTAATTCAAATTTAATGGTGTAAAGTATCTATTGAATTGGATCGGATCTGCTTCATCTATAATAAATTTATATTAGATTAGATTGAATTGAATCAATATCCGATCTATTGATAAAAGATAAGATATGTGTGTCAATAGACCAATTTGAATTAAAACAAATCTAAATACTAAATTAATATCAATTTGAACAAATTTGACGATTCAGACATTAAATTGAAATGATCCAGAATGATCTAAAATATTCGTCAGATTAGATTGAACCTGGTCACTTTGTATTGGACTCATATTAGACCGGATTGGATTGGACCAAATCCGGTCCAATTGACACCCGTACTTAAGTTTCCGACCCAACAAAAATGAATTTCTATTCAATATATTACACACCAGATCCAGTTCAAATGTATTAACCATTAATTCCTTCGACCCATACCCATTTTTCTGCTATATTCATACTGATTTTAATGGTCGTGATGATCTAATTTTCCTCTCTATGCTTGCGTCATGGATGGGCAGGTGTAAAACAGTAAAAGGTTGTCTAATGGCTGTAATTATGGAACGTTACTGAGTGGCATATTCGGATATTCATACAAAAATGAAGGGCATTCTATTGATGCGTTCACGCACGAAAAAAGAAGAAAAACAAAATAAGAGAACCAAATACTGATTCTTCTTAATCTGCACCAGCTCTGGAACTCGAATCTCAAGTTGGACGTCCGATGGGAGTCTCCGAATGGTCCCCGAGCCTAAGAAACTCCTCCGCCTCCGCCACCACCTCCGTTTCCTCCGAATGGACTATGAGAAACTGTTCAACAGATTCGGATCGTCCAATACAATTCCAAAGCCACCAAGAACAAAGAGAAGCTGTATCACGAGAAGTAGAAGACAACGACGAAGAAAAGGCCCGCTGTGAGTGGGACTTCAATCTCGTCACCGTCGTCTCTTCCAGTACCGTCGGAGCTGTATCTGACACCCTCGGCGTGATTGAGTTCGACCCTTCTGATTATCTTTTAGCAACAGGAGGAATTGCCAGAAAGATTCGTGTTTATAGTTTAGGCTCTTTGTTACCGCATGAAACTTGCCAAGGTGCAGAGGATGATACTACCTACTTAGACCACACCAGTGCGTGTGACTACTACATATACACCCCGGCGAAGCTTAGCAGTCTCCGGTGGAAGCCCGATACGGGCAGCCGTGTATTGGGATCGGGAGACTATGATGGGGTTGTCACGGAGTATGATCTCGAACATCAGGTGCCAATATTCGAGCGAGACGAGCACGGCGGTCGGCGCGTCTGGAGCGTGGATTACTCACATTGGTCCCCTGCACTAGGGGCATCAGCGTCTGATGACGGAACCGCACAAATATGGGACACGCGCTGTGGTGGTGGTACGTGCGTGGCCTCTGCACAGCCTAGTGCTTCACGGAGCTCCGTGTGTTGTGTCGAATTTGACCCGTATGGTGGGTCGATGATTGCCGTTGGGTGCGCAGATCGGAGGGCCTACGCCTACGATGCTCGGAAAATGTCGGCTCCGTTGTTGGTTTTTCACGGACACCGGAAAACCGTTACTTATGTCCGTTTCGTCAAAGACGGTATGATTGCGACTGCCGGAACCGATGGGTGCCTAAAGCTCTGGGACATGGGTGATGCACGTTCCATTCGCACGTACGAGGGCCATGTGAACCGCCGGAGTTTCGTTGGTCTTTCCGTTTGGAGGAATGGAGGACTTCTGGGATGCGGGTCGGAGAGTAACCAGGTGTTTGTCTATGATAAGAGGTGGCGTGATCCCATATGGGTGTGTGGGTTTCAACCCAATTCTCGACCAGAGTATGATAATGGTTTTGTCAGTAGCGTTTGCTGGAGACAAGTCGGAGTTGATCAATCTATGCTTGTGGCCGGCGGACCTGACGGCGTCCTACAGGTTTTTGTGGGCAAGAGAAAGTCATCCCCCTTCGGTGGCTTCTCCGGCCCATTCGCCTAGAATTTGATTTCGCTTTCTTTCGTTTGCTTAGCTTGTTCGATGTTTTTTTGTTTGCATTTTGTTTAACATTTTTGTGTTTTGAGAAATTATAAAAAAAAAAAAAAACAAACAAAGAAGAAAATTAGCATGGCTTCGAAGAATTTGCTAATTGCTACAACTACCCAACAATTGGCTCCGGCATGAAGAAACATTAAAATAAATATGCAACCAAAATGTTCCACATCGAACATATCAAAATTAACATAACTTAAGCAAAATTTTATGTTTATGGTTTAGGGCAGTTAGATGGTGTTCAACCTGTTTGGCTTTGCAATGCCTTATTTAATTAATCTAAATGATGAAATCTTATTCTAGTCCGGGCCTTCCTGTACAAAAGAGGGGTAAAAAGGGGAAAAATCTAAGAAATTGGTTGATAGGGGAACTATAGAAAAGAAAGTTAAGGTTAAATATGTATATTTTCCTTTTGACATCTTTAATTTTCTCTCCCAAAATGCAGAGAAATGAAAGGTGAATTTGTAAAATTAGCCCCCTTTTCTCTCCCAAAATCGCTCTTGTATGTATTTCAGGTGAGGTAGCTGAAACCTATATGGATCTCATCTGTAGCATGTTCTCTCATGATTGATCATGTAATTCATGCCAGTATTTTTAGGAGATCCAATTAAAACACTCGTACCTCTTATCCACATCTCTATCCATTAGACAATATTTCCATGCACGGGTGATTTTATCTTGATCCCAAGTCCCTAGAAACCACCTATATAGAGATTGTGCACTTGGGATATTCTCTCAACAAAAAAACTGTCCTAAAACAATTCTAACATGATTTTTGTCCGTATATATTATTATAAGATTGGAAGCTACAAGTTCAAATTGGCTCCCCACAGTGCGTGCCCCATACATGCCCCAATATGCAGCTCCAAATACATGGTTGGGATGTACGTGAGAAATGTGTAAAGCATCTTGGGGAAGGAAATGCAAATTCGGACCCAACAATCACTATACATGAGATGTAGGGACAATGATTATGTCGGAATGTATTGGACCGATTTTTTTTTCGTGGTTGGGAGGAGATCTATATTCAAAATTGTGGCACTTGAAACTGGCCATTCAAAGCCTATCGGGTATTAGAGCTTTTTCCATTTTTTTTGGTCAAAAAAGAAAAACTATATTAATTTCTCAAAAATATTTACATCCATCTCATTTTTAGGTAGTTGAAATCTCTTATCCATACCCCCCTTACATACTTCATAAGCTATTTTATGGTATAATCTATTTACATCCCTACTTATATGGCTAATATTACATATTTCAAACCCCTTTAGTAAGTTCTGCACCTCAGTCTTGTACAACTTCTCTTTTCATGTGCAATTTGTGTTATATGAGCTAGAAATATTTATTTTTCTTTTGGTATTATACATAATACATTTAGAGTTCAGATCTGTGCCCCCTTGGGGCGCCCCACAATATCTCACAATACATCTTCATCGTGTATTGAGAACATCTCTTAATGATAATATCAGAATCGATAATATCATCATTGGGAGATATTCCCAATATACGGTAGCTGTAGGACATTATGGGACGCAGATGTGAAGTCATACATTTATAGTTGGCTGATTCCCCTGCACTGTGCTTATTGCAATCCTAGGATAAGTGCTTGCCATTCAGCTTCTGCTGGTTCCTGGACCTGGCACCTACTTCATGCTGCTGCAGTCACCCTACAACCATCTCTCATTATGACGAAACTTTTGGTAGCTCTTTGTATATTCAACACATATGAACCATCCACGTACAAACATGTTGATAAAGTACTGTCAAGAGTTGATGATTTGTTACCCCTCTGATTTTCAAGTTGGTTCATTTCGCCATGAACTAAGTAATTTTATACTGCTTGTGCAACAACTAGAGGATTTGAGTTTTTATTCTCATGGAGTTTCTTGTTTCGAGCCTCCCAAATCAATCGGATGGCTATGGCAGCCTTAGCCATTAGTTCCTGCTTGCGAGGCCTTGGAATTGCTGAAAGCATGGTTTTCAAAACTGGATTGGATTGGACAGTTGGACCGGAAAACTGGGAACTGGTCATCTGATTGGTTTCGTTTTTCCCCAAAACCGCTGATTTTGGTCAATAAATCGTTGAACCGGCCAGTTAATCGTTCAAACGATTTTGACCATTTTCCAATTTTTCTAAATTTTTATCAGAATGGGCCTCAAACGATCGGACCGCTCAAACCAATAACCAGACCCCTGACTAGTTCGATCACCGGTTCGTTTTCAAAAACCATGGCTGAAAGTGTTTATTGTTGCCACATCTCCATTAATTCATGTAGAAGAGAATCTTGCACATTTGTTGTGATTAAGCCAAGTTGCAGCACGAGCTATATAACTTGTGCGAAATGACATGTAAACAACAAATGGGTAATGCTTTCGGCCATTGAATTGCATAGACTGCACAATTTATCTTCCTCAATCAAAAAATATGATTAACTGTACGCTTTAGATGTTCAAGAACCAATAATAACACTCTGCATCAATCATAAAATAAATATGGCCTATAATCATTCAACCTTTTAATGTGGGTTTCATGTAGCACTATCATTGATTTCACACACAATTAATCCGAATCCATTCATTTTGTCTCTTTTTTTTTTTTTTGCATTTTTCTTCTCATCTTGAATTTTCTTCGATGTATCATTGATTTGTTGGAATCCGTAAAAAGCTTTTTTTTTTTTTTTCTTTTATCGGAAAAGAGACTACAGTTTTTTTTTTTGAAATGTAAAGGCTACGTTTGAGACTGGAGAGTGAAGACAGAAGTATAAAACAAATTGTTACTACCTCTGAGTTTACAAAAGACGAAGCATCAACAAACATATGTTAAAGGTTATTGGTAGTGGAGATGTATCATCCTAGTTGTAACTGAGCTGCTGCCTATTGATGTTCCAGTTCCACCTACCACGTGAGTCGTGAAAGCACACCCGCTTTTCTCTGGATTCGCTGATGTCAAATTTGGTTTTTGGCCATTGATTAGTGATTCATTAATTCGGCGGTGGAACCATCAATTTATTTAACAGTTTTTGGTCTTTATTATTTTAATCATTTTTTTAATTTTTAAATTTTTTTCATTGGAATTGGACGTCCATTTAGACTGGACGATTAAACCATCAATTCAAAACTGGTGGTCAAAACAATTTCGATTCCGAGTCAATTTTTAAAATCTTGTTTCATACATCCCTTGGACGATTTGTCTCCAGTCTTAATTGGCGACATTTTTGTATAAATAGCCACAATAATAGAATCTAATTATCCTTATGCCACTGTAAAATCTGTTATGATTTTCTTTTGGTAAAATCTGCTATTATAATCTTATACTTCTTTCCCAAACAATGTGTACAAAAAATGAACACGGGGCTAAAATCAGAATGACAAGTCACACACTGCTCATATCATATGGGCCATGGCCCTACAACAGTCATAATTTCCTTGATAATACCACTTAGCACACAACGTGTTAGTTTTATTCATAGAATTGGAAGAGTTGACGACAAGTATTTCAGGGCTGAAAATGGTCCAAGTCTCAGCAAGAGAGACATTACCAATTGAGCTCGTGGACACCAATTGAAGGGAGATTGGATTCAATATATAATTGCAAGTGGTTCTGTGGTTGTGAATACAATGTGAGCAGGGAGTTATATGAGAAATGATTCAGAGTTTATTGAAGGAAAGTCGAAACTCATGATGCAAGTTAGGAGAAAGAAAAAGCATGTCGTCATTTTATTATCGATGACTGAGCATTGCCAAATAAGTGCGTGTCAGCCAGAAAAGACTCCACTCCACTATGATCGGTCATAGAAGCCATGGAAATGAAAATGGAGAGACTTCACCCCACTCGACGTTTCCGATTAATGCATGCCAGATTCCAGATTGCCGGTGGGAATTGAAAGAACAATAAGGACACCATTAAGAGGAGCTGCACGTTCGACCCGACACGGGATCTGCTATGCTGTGAATACTGGCGCATGAAAAGTGCTACGTAACCCAATCGTAATTGGACACGTCAGTGTTCCGTACGTATATAACCTACATGTGGTACATAACCATGTCAGGTTATGTCGGACTCTGCTGCGAACAGGTGTGTGAAATGGGGCATGTCGACCCACGTGAGTTGTAATTGAGTTGAACCATCTTTTCTCTCTCAATCTCTCTCACTATTGGCCACGTAACCAGGGGAGGGTCTATTGGCTGAAATACGGCCACCTCAGTCACTGATCACGCGATCAACAGTAATACCACATAAAATCCCTTGTGGGCCATACAGCCTGTGGCTTTTTTTCGAAAGAGGATAGTAGTACCCGTTCTTCCAACTCACCATTTATCTATTGGTGTTTGGGACCGCATCGGTGTTGAACAAAAACAAAACTGCAAAAGGCAAAAACAAAAACAAAACTTCCAACTCACCAATTAATGAATTGCTGCCCTCTCCAATGATATTTCACAACGATTTAAATATTACCAAAAAGGATAGCCGGAAAATTCCACTCTATCCTCTCTATTTTTTATATTATCTTGACCAAAGGCAGGTGTATTATGTTATGAAATAGGGTGATCAACTGATCAAAGGTCCGGGCTGCGCTTTGTAATTTAGGGGTGGCAACGAGCTGAGTTTTTCATAAGCTGTTGCAGTTCGGTTAGGTTTAATTTCTACCAAGTTTTGAGTTGAGTTTTACTGGCTCGATTATGAAACGAGTTGAGTTTGAGCCTATTAGAGCTCGACTCGTGAGGTTCGTGAATCGGCTTGAATATGCATATATATTAATGTATAATAAAATTATAAAAAATAATATATATATATAATAAAAATATTATAATTTTTAATTTTTTAAATATCAAATAAAAAATATTTTTATATATAATTTTTTATTTTTATAAAACATTTTTTTTTCAAAATCGAGCTCAAGCTCAAGCTTATGAATTTTTGACTTGAGCCGAGCTCGAGCCTCATACTATTTGGCTCAGCTCAATTCGAATCCACCCCTACTTTGTATCTATTATAAAAGTATAGCCTAGGCCCAGGCCTGATTTCCAATCTATATCTTTTATATATAAAATAATTATAT